CCATGTCCCTCCGGGGCCATCGGTCCCTTTATTTTCTTCATATATATATATATGAAGAATATATATATATATACATTCTTTTGTCCAACTTCTCTTGTCTAGGTGGGTGTACAGAAATTACAATGTGCGAATAAAAATTGGGATTGACAGCACCACAATTTAAATGCATCAATTCTTCATTGATCTTCCTTATTCAGTGACCAACTTTCACATGCTTATGAGGCAATCAAAAACATGTCTTGGGTGAGGTGCACCTTAGTCTTCAAAGTAACATCCTTTCAATACTCTCCTGAGAAGTTTTGTGCAGCAGAGATTTACCTAATGCAACTTCTTGATTTCTTGACTGCTGCTGCCATGAGCATTGATTGTAGAGCCAAGGAACAGGAAATCCATGACAACTTGAGTCTTTGGTTCAGTGGGTGAGTGGGAGTAAAGAGTGTATTCTGTGGCCACTGGGAAGCTGTGAAAGGTAAGGTGGAAGACCACACCTCTTTGACTGTTGATTACTGAACTGGGTGCTGGTGCAGTCTGGTGAACAAGCTGGTTATCTCATTCCTGGTCCTGCTCATACTGGAATGGTTCTTGCAGTAATTTTTCATGGTAATGTGTTGGTTTGCAGTTTACCACTCCAAATACCTCCTCAGTATGTTTTTGTTTGCTCTTTCGCTCATCAGTATCTGATTACTTCTCCATCTTTTGTCATGATTCTATTTCATTTGGTTTGTCCAGTCTTTGTTGTTGATGGTCTGAAGAGTGTATTTGCCTAGTTTGCCTTCTCCCAGGAGATTCCTCAAAATAGATTTTATAGAAAAAGATCCCTCAAAATACTTCAAATGTTGAACTATTGCCAGCTTTTGCTGCATGCAAAGGACGTTCTTGTTAATGGACATGAGGGGAACCCTCCCTGAGCTGTACTGACAAAAGAGCTGCAACAGTGGGCTCATGCAACAATGGACTCATAGAAATGACCATGAAGATGCCGCAGGATTAGCGTTTTGTTATATACAAGGCTGCCATGCTTTGGAGTGGGTGCAATGACTACTGAGAACAAAGGTCTGATCTGTGCTTTTCGGGAGATCTTCATTTCTGCTTCCATTTCAGGTCAGTACATTGATTTCCAGATGGACTGCCATTTATGTCAAAGGGGGTGTGAAAAAGCAAACAATGTGTTTGGCATCTGTTAAAATTTCTTGAGCACCTTTTAGACACCGTTGCGTGCTGTTCCATATAATCTCATTCTTCACAATAACCTGAGTAGAAACTATATTCCCATTTTACAGATGAAAAACAATTGAGGCCTATGACAGATCACTGATTTAAGATTTCCAGTTAGTGACAGTGGAGCTCTATGGCAAACACCAGGGAGTCTGGTGGTTTAGTGATTTACAAGTTAAGCTGCTAAACTCTAAGATCAGCAGTTCAACTCCTCCAATCACTTCCAGAGAAAGATGGGGCTATTTGCTCCCTTAAAGATTTACAGTCTTGGAAACCCTCTGGAACAATTCTGCTCTATCCTACAGGGTAGCTGAGTTAGAACTGAGACTCCATGCCAGTGGATTTGTCTCCAGCCTAAGTAAACTACATGTAGCTTGTGGCTGATTTAAAATCATTCAGCATTCTTGCTGGAAGTACAATACATTAGTTTCTGAGATGGGTTTCATCATTTGGTTGTGATTCCAGGTGTGTGTGAAAAATTTCCCCTGTGTTTTCCATTGGCTTTTCTTTACTCGTTGGTTTATCGCAACAAGGCCAGAGCTCTCTTACCTTAGCAGTATGTCATGCAATTTGCAGAGCCATGGAATCCTGTCCTGAAATGGAAGCAAACACAAGTGACTTCTGGGTGGTGTTTTATGGAGAGTTAAAAAAAACCAAACTACAGCCATCAAGTCAATTATAACGTAGAACTAATGGTCCCTGTAACACTTACGGGAGTAGGAAGCTCTCCAAGGATTCATTCAGCTGGTACTTTTGAATTGCTGACCTTGCAGTTAGCAGCCCAATGTATAACCCACTGTGCCACTAGAGCTCCTGTATGAAGATCTATTTAAGGTATATTAAAAAATGTTCAGCACCAGATAAATTGTTGTGGTTTTGCAAAGTAGATTATCTACTGAGAGCAGTGGATCAACATTGTGCTAATTTAGGTGTGTTTCTTTTAATAATAAAAATGGCACTAAGACTCCTCACAGTTTCCCCGTTGTAAATACAAAAACAAAAATTAAAACAAATTCACTGTCATAAGTCGATTCTGACTCATAGCAACCCTATAGGACAGAGTAGAACTGCCCCTGTGGGTTTGGGAGACTAATTATGGGCATAGAAAGCGCCGTCTTTGTTGAGCCTTATCTGGTATCGAACCGTTGTAATTAGGCTAACATATAACTCATTATACCATCAGGGCAAGAGGGAAAATGGAATGAAATGATAAAGTATTTCTTTTTTAAGCCCCTATATATCGGCCCTAGTCCATTATGTATACAATTCTTTTATTATACTGAATGCATTCTTTATATACTTTTGATTCTCAAACGTATATAGCCTGAAAGTCTTTATGTCAACAGTTACACTTTAAAACAACAAAAACAAAATTCTAGACTTGGTGAGAAGCACTGTGAGAAAATTTTAGCAAAGAGTTTAAAGGAAGAAACAGGAAATTTATATTGCACACTATTCATAATTGCACTAAAAATCCATGTTCATCTGAAACATGAACCGCCCTATCCCTGGTGTAAATCCTGATGGCCCATAATGCATTAAAAAAGAAAACCCAACCTTTTTATTATGGAAAAATTTAAGCATATTCAAAGCAGACAGAGTAGTACAAAGCAAACCCATGTGTGTGTACCCATTACCCAGCTTCTGTAATTTTCAACTCATGATTAGTCTTGTTTTTTATTAGTCTGCAACTATATCACTAACCATGCCTACCATCCTGTATTAATTATTTTTTCATAATTTTATTGGGGGCTCATACAACTCTTACCACAATCCATACATACATCAATTGTGTCAAGCACATTTGTACATTCGTTGCCCTCATTATTCTCAAAATATTTGCTCTCTACTTAAGCCCTTGGTATCAGCTCGTTTTTTTCCCCTTTCTTGCCCACTTTCCCCCCACTTGTGAACCCTTAATAATTAATAAATTATTTTGTCACGTCTCACACTGTCCGATGTCTCCCTTCACCCACTTTTCTGTTGTCTGTACTCCAGGGAGGAGGTTATATGTAGATCCTTATTATCAGTTCCCCCTTTCTACTCCACCTTCCCTTCACCCTCTGGTATCAACACTCTCACCTCTGGTCCTGAAGGGATCATCCGCCCAGGATTCCCTGTGTTTCCAGTTCCTATCTGTACCAGTGTACATCCTCTGGTCTAGCCAGATTTGTAAGGTAGAATTGGGATCATGATAG